TCCATTAATTAGATCATTAATAGCAAGTGGCACAGTTTACCCCATTACTTTTTTTCCCTCTTAAGAATAAAATCGGCTCCACTAATTATAATAAAGTGTTTTCCAAAGAACAAGCAAGCTTTAGAAGGCACCTGGCTCTGAGCACACTATATAATTTATCCTACAAGGTGATTTTTCCAAAGGCCATTAACTTCTTAAAATGCACACCAAGGTTTTCCATTTTTAAACTCATGAGACATAAGCTTGTTCTACAATATGTTGTTTTTGCCTGTATTTCTGTTTTTGGAAAAAGAGCTGAGGATCCAGGGAAAATTGGGCAGAATAACCTTTTCTTGTTAGAGGAAAGTGACTTATGCCCTGACGATACCATCGAAAACCTTTCAAGTGACAGAAATAAACACGTTATCCGGGAACAGGTCCAACTCACTGTCTAAGTAGCAGGGACAATATTAGTCTTCATTTTCTTAGTTTCTATCAAAGCAAAAGCTTGAAAAGTACCTAAAATTGGGCCGGTCACTCTTTTCTCCAATCACAGTTCAATTTTCCAATATCAATGTTATTGAAAAACTCTGCCCTAACCTCCAACTCCTGATTGAGTCCAAGGCTGATGCACACAGAAAGTTCCAAGGCCGAGCTACTGCGTGGAAGTGGAAGCTGCTAGAGTTTAGCTCATAAAAAAAGGCCGAAGTCCTACTTCTGACACCTTCAGCTGCAGTTCTGAGAGTAACTCCCACAGATCTGCAGAATATTAATGGGTCTCTAAAGAATCGTGCTAAACTATAAATAAAAGAATTCAAAAATCCTCAATAGACCAATTTTATACAGTAATTTAAAAGAAAAAATGTGAACAGAAATACCATTATCTTCAAAAAGCTAGAACGCACGTACAGGAAGGATGCGAAGCATGAAACAATGTATCATTTATTTTTAACACCTACGTGGGGGCAGATTTTAGCACTGTCCTTAAATAAATGGCTCTCTACTTTTCCTCCATAGAAAACTATCCAAAAGGCTTAGGGGAGCTGGATTGTTTCATTTTCTTCACTGCATAAA